CCCTGTTAGATTTATATTGGGACTGTGAGTGGAAAGGGACTCCTTAAGTGTTCGTGAGAAAAAGTATCAATATGAGCCCAGCTTTCCTAATCTGTGGGAAAAAACTCTATAAAATAACTTGTATCTGTTTGGGAGGACTGCAGGAAGGCTGCTGGTGGTATCTGCCATAGCCTTACAACTCCAAACATACCGGGCAGAAGATTTGCAGCTGTACAACCAGATCGGTTTCATTATAGGGTTTTAAAAAGCAAAGACCTCCATGTGAAAGGATGCCACTTTCAATGTTTGTCAACTTGTGTTCAATATTTTACTTGGAAATTTCTAACAAACATGCATCTTAAAATCCATGTCAGTGTGTCAAATACTGCCTAGTTATTAAATGGGCTTCACATCCATCAGTGGGTACCATTCCCTCCAGCTCCATGCATCCTCCAGACACACAAAACAACTCCTGATCTGCTTGTTTTGAAGGTGGATGCTAAGTGTGAGATTTTTTCATCTGTTAATGAAAGACAAATACTGCAAATCACATGAAGGTGGGACTGTTTGTCTGCAATGACTATAGGGTTAGGGCTTCTAAAGCCATGAGTGACTTGAGGCATCCCAGCACCATATAATAGCAGTGTCTTAGCCACTGCCACATGGTCCTACCCACCAAACCCCTCTTTTAATGATTATTTTTTGGGGTTTATTAATTTACACGGACATGGGCTGGTGGATGGGTTGAGGCTGTGGTGTGATGGAGGTCTGGCTCAGCTGGCAGTCTGAACCCCTGGTCTCACTGCAGGCTGCTTCTGCCAAAGCCACGGGGGTGCCCGTGAGAGGCCCCGTGGGGGGCTCTGTTGTCCCAGCCCTGCTGTCTCACCCCTCCCTTATAACTGCCCACTGCTCCAGCAGTGCCAACACGGGGTAAAGCCATGCTGCTGGACCTCCCCACGGTCCCAAGCTGGTGAGAATGAGCTGGTGTTGGTGAGCATCAGGATGCTCATCCCAACCCCCAGCTCTGACTACCCACTGAGGAGCATTCCCAATCCCTCTGGGTATCATGGCTCTCAGGTACCAGCACAGGGGCTCTGTGGGTAGCTCTGCCCTGGCAAGGACCCAGCCCTCCACGTGACAGGGATCTCCTCAGCTCATCTCCATTGGCATTAACTTTAGACAAGCCTCTTGGGTGTTGATGGACACTCTCCAACCCCAGCCACTTGCCAAGAGCAGAAGTGGTTCACTTGCTTTTTTCAGGTCAGATAGCAGCATTAGCTTATGGATGTGCCAAGGTGGGTGTTTCAAGACCTTGCCTTTCAGTGAGATGTCTTCTGACATCTTGAAGCTTTTTGGTAAATTATCAGCTGTTGATGAAATGGAGCTCTTCAATGCATTAAAGCAAGAAGAGCATCTGTCTGCTGCTGGCAGTGATCCAACCTGCTGTCCAAAACCCTCTGAGGGAGCTGCAGCCCCCCAGGAGTCTTCTTTGCCTGGGAATTTCTTGCCAATCTTGTCGTAGCCCAAAACTTCTTATCTCGGATCTGCAGATCACTGGAGGTGAGGCAGCATTGCACCTTGGGATGAAGCTGTTCAGGAAAAAGCCTGCTCTTCACCAGCTGAGTCAGTGGGAGTCATGCAGCTGGCATTTTCTGTTTTTCAGAGGCATCCTGGAATAAAAAGAAAAAAAAACAAAAAAGACGCACACACACACAAAAAAAAAAAACCAAAAAAACCCCACAACCAAAAAAAACCAACAAAGCAAACAATAAACTCTCATGAAACTGGCAGGGATTTTCTCAGTTAATCATTTCTAATTGGAACATGGCCACTTGGGGAAGTGAAAGTTTCTGGCAGAGCGGTGCCAGTTTCTGCAAGAGTTTGACAAGTGATTTTTCCTGGAGGTTCTGCAGTGGGTCTCAGCTAGTAAATAAATAAAAAGGCTCCAGTTTTGTTGACACTAATGCAAATTCAGAAAGCGCAAACTCTTTTTCTGACCCAGAATTCTTGTTTTCTAGCTGTTCTGAGTTAGAAAGAGCAGCCTGATATGAATTTTACCCTCAACCAAGTTTGGACATCTCTTTTTGCTGGTGCTGCATTAAAACATGGCTCTGACCTTAAAAATTCTGCACTAGAAATAAGCAAAGTGAGGAAGGATTCTTGCCATCATTTTTCACCAGGAATTTGGGTACAAATGGATGAACTGACTTGGGGTTGGCAGGAGCCCATGTCCCACAGGCAGTGGCTGTGCTGCTCCTGCTGTGTGCAGAGGAGCTCATGCTGCTGGGGATGATGTTTTCCTGGGGTGCTTAAATGTGAGGATCTGGTCTAAATAGCCTCAAAATGTTTCCCCTGTCCTCTTTCAGATCAAAATAGCATCAGCAGCTGGTGGTTTGGGTTGTAAGGTTTTCCTGTAGAGCCACGAGTGGGCTCCTATACTCAGAACCATACATCTGATTTCTTATGGCCTTTCTGCTAAAAATAGCCCCTGAAGACCAGAGTTAAAGCAGCACCCCATTTTTGCCTGCCTGTAAAACTGGGAGCAATAGTTCTTCTCCAAAGAGACAGTAAAAGCCTCTGATCTTGACCTAAAAGAAAAGGTGCTAATCAAACACTGACCTTCCGTGTTTTCCTTTTTGGTATATTTAACCTTAAATTCCTTCAGGCACCTCTGGTTCACTGAAGCTCATCAAATTAATGCTACCTAATGGGAAGCAGTACAGAATAACAAAGAAGGACTGTCTTCATCTCTGACTTGGTTTTGGCTGCTCTGAACAAAGCGAGGGTGTTTTTCCCAGGTTGGAGCCAGGGCACCTGGACACTCACTGCAATTAGCACTCGGGAGCAAAGGGCCCCGTTTGCCAGCGATGCTGCTGGGTTAAGCCCTGTGAATTTTGCCACCGTTCTGCTAGAGGTGAGGAGTTTGTTGAGATGCTTCCGCAGCCTCTGTAATAAAATCCCAGTTGCTGGGGGAGCTGGTGGTGCCTGTCTGCTGCAGAGCCCCCAGGGTGCCCTTGGCAGGAGGGAGCAGCAGCCTGGGGTCAACACAAGCCAGGATCAGATCCCAGCCCTGTCCTGGATGGGGGGGACATGCCTCATCCGTGACACAGTGGTGAAGCTGGAGCCTCATCCTGTGTGTTTGACCCTCTGCCCTCACTCTGCTTCACTTGTGGTAGGAATAGGGACCCCAGGCCAACGTCACGGGGGAAGGAGGGCTTGGCTCCCAGGACATCACGTTAGCTCTCGGTGTTCCTGGTCATTCTGCTCCATTGCTAAAACAGAATAATTTGCATTTCCTAGGGCTGTTCTGATGTTTCTCACAATGCAAGGATGGCCAAACCCTACATTGCCACCCAGCTGGCTGCAGCTTGGCCGCCCTCCCCTAAAGCTATTCTGCTTGTTTCCAGCCTGAGTGCCTTATCTTTTTTCTTCTGCCCATAACTAGTGCCAATGAGGACAGGAGAGCCTCTCAAGACCCTCGCAGCTCTCAGCAGGCTTGTGACTGTGGGTTGCAGAGCTGCTCCCAGCCACAGCACCTCTCGGGGGAGGGGCTGGGGGGGCCAAGGGGGGGCACCTCTGGGGGGAGTGGCTGGGGGTCCCAAGGGGGGTGATGGGGTGCTAGACCCTCAGGGCTCAGCAGTCCGCTCGGCCTCTGCACCTTCCTCAGGAGCAGGATCTTTGTGTTTGTAGTTTGTCACTTGGGAGGGTGGTGTGACAGGAGGGACCTAGGGGCTGGCTGGTGGCTGTTTGCAGAACGCTCAGAGGTCCCCATGTGGAAAGAGCTGATGAAATAGGATATTATCGCCTGCAGCCACTAGCACTGGTGCAGGGAAGGATCTGGGTCCATGAACACTCCTGCAGCTGCTCTGAACTCAGCTTGCCTCTCCCTGTCCCCATGCCAACGCTGTCCTTGCTGCTCCCACGTCCCGCGTTGCCGCTGGCAGGACTTTCCTCTCCCCACCCTTGGCGAAAGCCATTGCTCCCAGCCCCTCAGTGCTGGAGGCCCTGTAGCACCACCCTGACCTTGCTGGGCTTGAGCCTGTTACCTGCTTGGGTAGTTTCATGGCATCTGATGGCTGTCGTAAGCCTCTGCTCCCTTCACTCTGACAGCAGCCCTGACCCCAGACCAGGAGCCCATGCGGATGCAGGAACTGGCTCTGGAGGAGCTGGCAATTCCCCAAGGCTCAAAAACCAGCAGCTGGGAAGAGTTAAGCCTACGTGGCACAAGATCAGGGGGTTACGTGTACGTTGGTGCGGGGTGGGGTGCCGTGTGTGTGCTGCAGCCTCCCCATGCTGACGCGGGGGAGCTCAGAGGGCTGTGGTGACACCCCTGCAGTGTTTACAAAGTGGCAACTGCAAAGGCTCCAGGAATGCATCCTGCTCCTAAACTGTCCTCTTCTGGGAGGGAGGAGGAGCAGCTCTGTGGGCCCCAGCTCTTATCTGGCGCCAGGAGGCAGGCAGGCTGGCGCGGCTCCGGGCTGCTATTTATGGGGCCCAAATCCGACTGCGCGTATGTGCGTGGCGACCCCCAGGCCCAGGGGTGCAGGGGGCAGCGAGGGGCTTTGGCTGGAGGCAGGAGGTGCAAGCTGGCCTGGCAGGAGGTGAGAGACAGAGTGAAGCCCCGACCCTGCAACCTCCAGCTGCCAGCTCCCCACACAGCAGCTCTGGTACTGCCTGTCAGAGCAGGATGAGCCCTTGGCGGGGTTTCCCTGGGAGCAAAAGTCAGTGCCTTTATTTTAAGCATCCGCTGCCTAAAAGCATGTTAAACTGGCTTGAAAAGTCCCCCTGACTTAGGCAAATGCTGAAACTGAGAAACCCACAACTTTTGCAAAATTTGTTCTGGCTTCTGCAGACTTTTGATGGCTTCTGCAACAGGTGGCTTTTCCAGGCATAGTTGGTGGTTATTTGCCTAGGCGAGGTGGTGGGAGCAGGGCCAGGGTCTGCTGCCTCTGCTGCCTGCTTGGCTGGCTGCCTGCACCGCTTCACCCCCAGCTGCTGGGTGTCTTCTGCTCTGCCCCCAGCCGTGCCAGAGCCCGTTCATGCCTACTCCTGCCCGCTCTTCTGGACTGAGTACGAAGGCCATTGCTACCGGTACTTCCCCGTCAACAAAACCTGGGCTGAAGCTGACCTCTATTGCGCTGAGTTCTCCATTGGCATCAGATCAGCCAAGCTGGCCTCCATCCACAGGTGAGGAACACAGAAACGTGTCATCCCAACCTGCCATGGCCTGGGAAAGGAGTAAAATGAGGACAAAATCCCATTCCTACAGCACAGCCTTTGTGTCAGCTGCAAGCTGGTGTCCCAGCCTGAGCATCTCTCTGCAGCAGCAACTGGGTCAAGACTGGGAACACAAAGGTGATGTAAAAAATGCCTTTTCCTGGGCTGGCAGGAAAACTGATGTAGTATTCTCTAAAGTCCCCCAAACTACTACTTTTACTCTTAGAAAAGGGGTAGAATACACCGTGATTACCTGGGCTTTCCCCCCCTCCCTCTCCTCCAGCTCTTGCCCATACCATGCACCTCTTGCACAGGCCTGACTAAAGCAATGAACAGCAATGATAAGAGGGGGACCCATTTGGCCATGCCCTTGGGTGAATGTTCAGGGGTGTGCCTGACCACCATTTGCCTGACATATCCTCTCAGCAGCTCCATCTTGCTCTGTTTTGCCAGCTGGGAAGAAAATGTCTTTGTGTATGACCTGGTGAACAGCCGTGTGCCAGGCATCCCCACCGACATCTGGATGGGACTCAACGACCTGCGGCAGGTGAGAGCTCCCTGTAGTCATGTGGGAAATGGCTGTGAAAAATACACTGCATTTTCCCCTGGGAAGCCACTTCATTTTCCTCTTCTCTCCTCATAGCCCCATTAACTGGGTGGTGGTGTAGGGTCCGTTGTGCAGTGCATGGGAGAAAGTCGTCATTTCACCCGCTTCAGTCTGCTTTTAAAGGAAAAGTGTTACTAGAATGGATAGATTAATAATTACTGATTATCCACATCATATTTTATTAATGGATTAATAAAAAGAGTATTGTGCTGCTTATCCAAGAAGAGAAAATAAACAGAAAACATCTCCAAGGTCTAAAATCAAGTTTTATTGCTTTCGTATGACACTCTGCAACTTTTCAAAGCTGAAGTGTTTGAAATATGTAGTGTAATATGCAAGGAAGAAAAACCGAGACCATCAGAACAGTCCCATGCCAGCCAATGTTGTGTAGATATTGGGAAGGGAATGGAAAAGAGAAAGGAAAAGGTACACAGAATTGGGTGGGTGTGTTAAAAATTACGTGAGTTTTATTTCTGGGCTTTCCCTGGTGTGAAAGCCGTGAATGCTGAGGCTTTCCAGCATGAGTTTTTAGCTGTAAACCCCAAATATGCCTTTGCTGAGCGGCGCCAGCCTCTCCCGTGTCCCGGGGCTGCGTGGCAGCGGGCCGGGGCCGGGCTCTCCCCAAACGCGGCTCGGCGGTGGCAGCCACCCTCTCTCCACTTGCCAGGAGGGCCACTTCGAGTGGACAGATGGCTCCTCCTACGACTACCACTACTGGGACGGCAGCCAGCCGGACGATGGGATCCACTCGGTGCCTGAGGAGGAGGACTGCGTGCAGATCTGGTACAGGCACAGCAGCGGTGAGTGCCGCGCCGGCCGCGAGGGCACCCTCCTCCCTGTGTCCATCGAGAAGTGCAGTTCCCTGCAGATCCTGCTTTTCTGAAGAGGTTGCTGGCAGGCCGAGGATTTGCATTTTTATTTTTTATTATTATTTTCTTTGTTCTTTGGAGAGAAGGGATGTTTTTTTGTCTTTCATTACATACACACACACATTTGCTTTCCCTTTGCTCACAGCCCATCTCCTTCTCCCACAGCCATGATGGGAGGGGAGCATTTTGAATAATTACTGAATTTTGACAAATGTCAAAGTTTGCAGTTTCCCCTCCCACATAGAGCCCATGGAATGACCCCACAGTTCACCAGCTTTTCCCTCTCTCCCTCAGGCCAGGATCATCTCGTTGAAGCAGGCAAAGACCCTGCTTGTGCAAAAATCCCACATTCCCTCCTCTCTAGTGAGACCAGTTGGGTGTATCCAGGACCTGTGGACATACCTAAACAGCCCATCCCCGTGTGGCCTGGCGCTATTTTGTGCTGTGCAGAGCTGTGTTTGTAGCTGCCTCCCTGCTCCCATGTTCAAGCTGGGGCCAGGTGTCCCCGCCAGCATCCCCAGGACAGGGGTGGGGACATTGGGAAGGAGCATGGCTGGGAGCAACTCAAATAGGAAGACATCCACAGAAAGCCTCCAGTAATGGCAGGAGGTCTCAGTTCCAGGGGTGGTGTGGGATTACCTCCTCACATCTTTTTTTGGCTAACACCTTGGGGTTTTTTTTGGGGGGGTAGCACTGCGCTCCTGGAATGACAACGTCTGCAGCAGAGCCTTCCCCTTCGTCTGCAAGATCCCCTCACTGGCCCTGGACTGACGCTGCTGGTGCTGCCTGCACCCCCATCATTTTCAGTCACCTCTCCAGCCGTGCCAGGGAAGAGCAGCCAGGACAGGGCATGGGTGAGAGCTGCATGGCATCCCCACACAGACCCCCGCTGCAACATCCCTCCTGGGAGTGCCATGGGGATGAACCTGGTGCTCACCCGCCCCGTGGGCAAATGGTGATGGGAGCTGTGTTAAATCACAAAGGAGCCAAGCCTGGGCTTGGCTTTGGCTTTCAGATCAGCCATTAGCAGCGTATTAGAGGTAACCCATGATTTCACCAATACACTAAACTGTTAGCATCAAAAAATAGTTGTGTGTAGGAAATTATTTTGCCCCTTGATGTGTGAAGAGTGGAGGAAAAGTGTTATGTTCTGTTAAGTTATGCAAAAGGCCTCTTGTGCATGTTATTTTCTCTCTGCTAAAATAAACAGCAAACAGCAGGTGGAGGCTCCTGGGTCTTCCTAGCACTCGAGCAGCAGTGGCACCCTGGGGACAAGGGGTCTCGTGCAAAAGGAGCTGGTTTTACCCCAGTCTGCTCTCTATTAAAAAGGTGTGTTGGGGGAAGTGGATGCCTGGGAAAGTTATTTTATTGAGGCCAGCTGGTTTTGGGTGTTCCCTTTGCCTGGCCCCCACCAGCCACACGGCCTTGCCACATTGGGGTTCCTGGGGTCACTCAGCACCCCACACCTCCACAACATCCCTGCCCCCAGTAGGTGAACAGGGTTTGGCCCTTTAGGCTGACCAAATTAGAAGGAAGATGGATGAAGAGCACCAGCTGAGGTGTAGCCCATCCCCACCCTTCCTGGGTGGGGAGAGCTTGCAGCTTTTGGAGCAACCCTGTTTCCTAGCAAGATGTTTTTTTTCTGCAGCCATTGCCAATGTCATCCTGTCCTGCACTGGCACTGCAGAGGTACTTTTTTGTCTCAGGTAAATAATTTCTGGGGAGGTGTGTGTGGTTGTGGCAGTCCCAGTGTGCCTTGTTTGAGTTGCTCAGTAGAGAGATGGGACCTTCCTCCTTGCATGTGGGTGAATTTGCAGGGCTTGGGTGCAAGCAGAGCTGTGATGATACCAGGGCCCCAAGGAAGGACAGCACTATGGAGGCAAAACTATGCTTCTTCTTTAGGGGACATGGCTGCAGAGGCAAACTCACTGAATCCAGTGCTCCCTGGAGGGCCCCTGTGGTGTGACTGCCAGTCCCACACAGCTCTGTGGTGTCCAGGTGGCTCTGCAAGAACCCCCATGCAGAGGGGGCTGCCTCCTGCTCTGGCCCCTTGCCCTCCTTCGGGAGTGATGAGTCTCTTTTGTCCCTGCTCTGGCAAAGCCCCAGGGTCTCACAGCACCGAAGCGGCTGGGACAGCCCCTGGCTGCCCTGTTTCAGCTGCTGCCTGCAAAGACAAATCTTCATAAAATTGGTCTCCCTTGATGTCACCATCATAGCGATAGAAAATTTCAAAACTAAGACTTTCCAGAGTGATTACACTGGGTACAATGAGGTAAATAACTGAGGCTCTGCTGGGATCTTGTAGCTGACTCCTCTTTCAGCTGAATCACGTTTCCACTTGGAGAGAAACTGCAAAACTTGATGGACATAATGGTAGTGTTGTAAGTGGAAAATGTGTGTTAGAGCAGGCTTCTAAAATAAGGAAATACTGTCATCCTTGCTTATGTCTTTTTATCTATATGTATATAAATATTTTATATAAAA